TCTGACCTGAGGTGTTTGCAAAAGGAACTTTATCTCAGGAGGATGCCCTGGGGGAGGTAGTCACCCTAATTTGGGTACACAGTTGCTCTTGTGGTTTCTCTGGATCTACTTGAGGAGAGAGCTCCTGCTTTGCCTGCAGGGTGTTCTTTGGAAGCTGGCTCTAGTTTGGAGGTGATATCTCTTCTCTCCTACAGAAATGTGGGAGTTTGAGCTGGGACAGTGAGGGGGGAAAACCGTCTAGTTTGCAAAGGCTCCACTTTGATGCATGCTTAATTTGAGGGAGAAGACTTTCAAGACAAACATCAGAAGAAATTGTTATTTAGAACTTCACTCTGTGTGCAGATGGAAATTCAGGTCCCTGCCGTTTACATAGATTTGCCCTGCCCAGTCCTGCATCAGGGCTTCTTTGCTCTTCTTCCTTTTCAATTAAAAAGCTGTAATGCTCTGCATCTGCTAGTACAGTTGCTGAAATTGAGTTTCTTGGCCTCTTTACAAAGCTAGGTTTACCCTTGCAGCTTTCTCTTTGGTCTGTGTAGATTGACTTTACAGGCTTGGAAATGTCTCTTCAGATCTAGAGAAGGTAAAGCCACACTAGAGTGAGCTGGGATGGGTTTGGCTGCCTCCTAGACAAGGGGTTTCAAAGGCATTGGTGCTGATGGCAAATCCCTAGGAAGCAGCATTCACTGGCCTTTACAGCTTCTGTCCTTTCTCTTACAGATCCAGGTGTGGGACACTGCTGGCCAAGAACGCTTCCGGACAATAACCCAGTCTTATTACAGGAGTGCCCATGGGGCCATCATTGCCTATGACCTTACTAGGAGGTCCACATTTGAATCCATTCCTCACTGGATTCATGAAATTGAAAAGTATGGTGCTGCAAACTTGGTCATTATGTTAATTGGTAGGATTTTAATTTTAAATATTGTGTTATGTAGCTTTTAAAATATGAATATAAAATCTCCCTCACTTGCCCCCACTACTTAAAGCATCTGTAAACTATGCATTAAGGAGGAATGTAGTTCTAACTAAAAGGGATCAGAAAGTCTAGCAAGTTGACCTAAGCTTAAAAAAAATAAACGAGGAAAGTCAGCCTGGTCCTGACAGGACCAAACCCATTACAGACAGCAAAGCTTTTTCATTTGTTCCTTTCCTGTTGGAATAATGCAACAAGCGTGCTGCTAGACTAGAAGCAGGGAGAACCTTGTTGAGGTTAGAACTGCAGTAGGTCTAACCCTATACTCCTGATGCACAGGAATGTAGCAGCTCAATAATTCAAGACAAAGGGGAATGCACAGAGCAGCACAACTCCTCGTTCTCATCTTTGCTCTCTATTCTTTTGGTATGCATGCACATTGCTCTCTAATGGGATTCTGACCAGGTAAGACAATAGATGGGTAAATGGCTTTTGCAGAGCATGAAGTAGTCTGCTTGGGTTCCACTGGCATTCAGGGAACTTTGCCTCTTGAGGAAAGCAGTGAGCAGCAATTGCTGAGAATGGTAGGAAGCAGTGTGGTTCCTTCCCTTCAGGTTTCAGGTTATTATTGCTCCTCCTTCCCCTGAGGAAGAAGCTGCAAATAAGAGAACTGGTCTAGTTAAATAACAGAAACTTTGTTTACATTCCACTGCCTCTGCCCATCCCAGTGTGGCGCTGCTGAGAGCAGCACACTCGAGCCTGGCTGTCGGGGACAGGCAGTGTGGAGCCGTGCGGCAGAGCAGGCATGGGCCCTGAGCTGTGCGTGTGCTCCTGGTGCTGCGCTGACCTCTGCTGTGGTGGTTCTTCCTGTTCTTCCTCCGAGGAAGCAAGCACCAAACTCTGACCTGCATCGAACTGCAGTGCTTGGAACTGGATTGGGGAAGGGAGGTGTAAATCACTGAACTTTGGTCAGGGTTTTTCTAACCTCCCTCATGAATCTAAAGAACAAGACTTATCTGTGTGTGTTGGAGGATGGTAGTGTTTTGTTTTTTTTCAGAGAAAAATACTGAAATTAGTAAAACTAAAGCTTTTGTTAAGGATCTAGCTTGGTGCTTCCTTCCAATGCTGGTGCTGTTTGCTTTCCTTAGTTTGGCAGAAGTCTTTGTACTTTTAGTTACACTTACTCATGTTACACACCTTTCTAGCATGAGGCTAAGGAGTCCAACTTTCCCATCTGGAACTGAAGGAGGAAAGGGATGAGGGGCTCTTTATAAGAAGGCAAATAACCCTCAAGCTGTTTGCTGGGGGGGTTGTGGTTTTCTCTTGTGGGGTGGTCTGTCGGCTTTGTTTGTTTTCTCCTTGTAGAAAAACTGAAAGGGAATTTGTGGGAGGTGAATTGGCTTATATATGCTTCAGATTCAACTTATGAATTTGATGAAGGGTTGTCTTGAAACCAGGAGTGTAGCCTTGAGCCAGGTACTGCATGTGCCAGAACTGATAATTCCACATGTGCTCCAACTACTTAAATAGACAAAGGTGTTTTGTCTGAGGCATTTCATGACTTTTGATAGGTTTTGACTAAAGTGCTACCAGTAAAAATTTGATCTACATGTGCAGAAACAACTTAAGTATTTTAAGCATCGAGGTAGCTTGGTGTGAATTCATGTCTTTCGGCATCATCTTAAAAGTTTTTTTTTAATGTTTAACTGAAATGCTACTTAATGTCTAAAAACACTAGGGAATAGGGACCAACAGTTGCTTCCAAATAATCCTTTGGCACCACTACCTACACTAAGTAATTAGGTGAACACAGGTTTTATTGGATTTCAGCTCATTTGCTGTCATATGACGAGGTGCAGTTTTGTGCCACAGTTTGTCTGATGTGCTCACAACCTGTGCTCTCCAGTAACTCATACTCCTAATATAAATCCTTTAACAAAACTGAATCCATGCATTGATGGTGAATTTTTGAGAGACTAAGTTACTGAAGTGCCTCTTTGCCTTCTTTTAAGGGAACAAATCAGACTCGCTAGACAAGCGCCAAGTGCTGTTTGAAGACGCCTGCACGCTGGCAGAGAAGCATGGGCTCTTAGCTGTGCTGGAGACATCAGCAAAGGAGGCTCAAAACATAGAAGAGCTGTTCACATTAATGGCTAAGGAGCTAATAGCCCGAAATACCTTACAGCTTCATGGAAAGAACCCTCCGAACAGCTTCTGTCTTGATTCCAGGCCAGT